CGGCCGCGCCTTGCGCACTCCAGGAGCGGCCCCGGCTGAGGAGCCGCAGGAACATCTACAGTGTTCAGGGCGTGACCCTGCCCGAGGTGTCCGCCCGGGAGATCTTCGTCCCTTAAGAGCAGGGCAGAAGGACAGGCACGTGAAGGCAGCAGTAGGTCCTTTAAGGACCACCAGTGGCAGGGGGGCTCAGAAGGCACCAGCCAGGAGATGCTACAGCCCTGGGGAAGAGCACAGCCTTAGCCTGGCTCTACAAGATCCTTACTTATGAAGGGATCTGGCACACAGAAAGCCCCACGGAACCAAGAGCCTATTGCAGGCCATCTGACCATCACCAAGATAAACATTTGTAGCAGCTTAAGAAAGACTGAGAGGGTCATTCTTCTCACTAGGTTTGGCAGGTTACTTACCTGTCCCATCATTATCGCAACACAAGCACACATTACCCAGGGAGCACATGTATGGTATCAGCTAAGCTGCATGCAGATGTGCCTGCTTGTGGCCTTCCAAGTCCTACACAGATGTAATGCCAGCTTGTGTTTGAAATGAACCAGATACAACTGCCAGCACCATAGTTACCCCAACACCAGATATATCAAAGTACCTTGTGGAAAAAAAAAAATCATATTGTATGGCTACTAGCACAGGGGCCCAAAAGGCCAGTCACCACCACTTCAATGCAATTTATTATGTGTCAGATGGAATGATCCAGCAGCTCACCTGTGCTGACACAGAGCTTCCTACAACAGGACTGATGGAGGTTTTGCTCCATCAGTATTAACCTTTCATATGCTGAGGAAACTCAGCTTATACTGTCTGCTACAATCAGCAGCTGCTTTTGTCAGGTGGAAAGACCACTCTTTGACACTTCCAAACTCCACCTACCTATGCAACAGCAGAGGTCAAGCCAGCTTCCCAGAAAAAAAATGAGATGCAAGACAGGAAGTGCAGGCTAAAACCCCAGATTAAAAAAACTTCTCTCCTGGAACAGGTACTCTCCACATTAGACAACATATGTGTTTTGTCTAGCGAGTTAGAACCCCACACATTTACATTTTGCAAAGCATTAAAAATAGTTTTATTTATATCTACTACTGAACAAGTGAGCCATCAAATTGGAATCTGCTACACTTCAGCAGAAAACATGAGTGCAAAAATTATTTGAAACATGTAACAAGTGACCATCTAGTCAGAACACGCAATAGGTAAACTAGTAAACACAGTTGATCAAAAAGTCAGATAGGCACTTAACAGCAAAGAAGATAACTTCATCACTCTTTGAACACCATAGCAGCCTATGTGGAACTGCATTTGACTGAGCTTTGTTGCTGTGAATAATACAGCTGCTGCACAGGCACAGATGTGTGTTTTGTACATTTTAAAGTATTCACTGAATACTACAAACATATATACTCATATACATAGTTCCAGAAGACGTAGGAAAAGAATTCTAGAGAGTGGTTCATTTCTGATCATCCTTTGGAAGAGGTCTTCTGAAGAGAAGAATATGTGGTTCTGTGGGAATAAAATTGAACAAAGTGTCAGTCTATCCCCCAAGTCTTGATTACAGGTACTTCCTCCATTTAAGAAGTCTTGAGCAATAGTTCAAGCTTGCTGTCAAACATTAAGAAGTCCACAAATACAGCCCCATGTGTGGTATTACTAACAGACCAACTCTGCAGTAACCTAACACTCAAACGGGTACATTTGAAAGTTTTACCAAATGTTGACAGTACCATAAACTTAGGACACTTGTGTGGAAGAAGTACTAGAAAAAAAACCCACAGTCTTTTTAGTTAACACTTGTACTAACTGTCTACGTTAGGCTACTTGATGAGCTTTGTTACTGTAACTTAGACCAACAAACTGCTGATGCTGTCCTTGTTGATTTCATTGCATCATAGAATCACAGAATGGTTTGGGTTGGAAGGAACCTTAAAGATCATTTAGTTCCAACCCCCCTGCCATGGGCAGGTACACCTCCCACTAGACTAGGTTGCTTAAAGCCCCATCATAGTGTCAGGCATCAGCAAAAGCCACTGAAGTCAATACAGCCAGCTTACATTACTTATTGATCTGACTTAATTGTAAACCTCTCCAAAAATTCTCAAGTGTCAAAGAGGGTCAGGAGGTAAGGGAAGCTCTGGAAGGTTATGACAATTTCTTCACCTGATTCTTCAGATAGTTGGAACCCCATGTTGCTGCAATTAATCTATCACCAGTTACTTTTTACTCAGGCTCATCAATGGCAGTTATCCTGAATGCCTGCTTCCAGTACATCCTAGTCAGTGGGGTTTTAGGACTTTATACCCCATTAACTGAGACTAGTTTCAAGTACTGATTTTAGTAGGCTGTATCACTATAGTTCAAAGTATATGCTGGACTTCTCAGAGCATTAATACAGCACCTTATCCACATAAGCATCTAAGTTTTTGAACAAAAAGCATGTCAGCTTTATGATTTAAAGATGTGCTGCTCCATAAAAATTGGTTCAGTCACTTAGATACAATACTCAAGAGCTCACAAGAAGCCCTTATCTACAGGCAGAGGTAGGAATAATTTCTTGACTGACATGTTTTGTTCACTGATAGACCACATGTACCTAGGACGAGGCTAGCATTCTGCAGTTGTGGGAACAAAAAGTGAAAGTTTAAAATAAAGGCCATTATGTTGCCTGTGTTGACAAATGGCTGAAATAGCAAGGAGATGAAGAGTCTAAATGTTCACTAGTGAAATCATCTGGATTCTACAGCAGGACTTTAAGCACTATTTCAGTGAACACCAGGAAGCTGGTGTTTTAGATGTTTCTGTTCATATAACTCTGTTCAGATGTGCTTACCTGGCTCATGGATCATATAGTGAACCCAGCCAAGGCTCTGCTGAACACCAAGACGTCTCCATTCCTCTTCAGACATCAGATGGGATTTTGGCACTTGTTTGGAAAGTTCTCTCGGCAGCATCACGTGCCTGTGGGGGTTTAATTATTAAACACACATTACATACAGCAACACTTGTGTGCACTAGAAAATTTGCAAAGATCTATACTGAAAGAAAGTGAGCAAGTTCAGTTATGAAAACCAACATTCTCCACAGGGTCGCCTAGGGTGCTGACTGATACCACTAACTTGATTGTGAAGCATCTGTCCCAAAACCCAGCTTTTAAATCACCATATCTAATAAACATTAGGTCTGCAATCTAAGTTGAATATTGAAATGATCAAACTGCTTCCCACAAGAGATAAACTGCTGTGCATGCTCCTAATCATGGTGCTTCTGTAGAAGTATGTGTTCCTAGCAACTGGCTACTGTACCAGCTATTTGAAGAACAAGGACACTGGTCTTCTAGAATGATTGTTAAGAGTCACTTGTTTGTACTTTGCATTTTGCAACCAACAATATATTTTCCACAGAGGCTGCAGTGGGAGTTTAGAAAGTCAGAACACTTAAAAGCATTATCTGTTGGTGGAGAAGAAAGATATGGCCAGCTCTCCATATTTACAAGTTGTTTTATTGCTTAATAGAAGGCAAAGCACTGAATCTTGTTTTTGACATCTGAGGAGTGATGACATAAGAGGGACACTTAGATCTCTACACAGAGAAAAAAAGACACTGAGTTGTAGTAGTGCTTTCAAGCCTAGAAGACTGAACTTCAACAGTATCAGCTACTGTCCAGAACTGTTCAGTGTAGCTTTGAAAACTAGCAGATACAGTACTGCCTCTAAGTTTTGAGGAAATACATTTATCAGTACCGTATTTTGCCGTGGCCTTATGAGCCTCCTTCAAAGCTGGTAGATTATGCAAAACGCATCCCTCATCCACACTCAGACCTCCAACCGAGACAGTACGAGGCCGCTCTTAGCTGTGTTGACCATCCTGAACACAGGGGTTTTAGTTCCCCGCTTCAGCTCCTCCCACCGGGTGAGACCGAGACGGCGGCAGCAGGGCCAGGCCGCCCACCCGGCTCTCGCTAGTGGGGGCCGAGCGCTGCCCAAACGCGGCCCTGTCTGTTTGCGGCGGCTGCCCAAACCCCGCAGCGGGCCTCGTCTCCCG